GCCAATTACACAAGTCCTTTCTCTTCTGGGCATCTTGCCAGGCCCCTTTCTCAAGCCCATGCAAAGCCAATTACACAAGTCCTTTCTCTTCTGGGTATCTTGCCAGGCCCCCGTTTGGTCCAACTCAACCATTGCAAGGCATTTTCTTGCCCGCTCATCCTTGGTTTTAGTTTCATTTACACGCTTTGTCTTTAGGTAGATGGCACACCTTCCCCCCACTCAATCGCGATGTCCCCATCGCGTCTTTGGTTCTCACTTGGAGGCCCACAGACCTTGCCTGCCAACTGAGTAAGCGGGTGCCGGCCCATCAGCCCCTAAAAGGAAGGGTGATCAGTCCTTCTCCTGCTGATAACTCACCTCACCCCTTACCCTAGTCCGAAGGCCACTAACTTAGAGATGGCCATCAACATTGAGGTGCCTCCTCGCATCCGTAAGGCAGGTCTAGTCCCTACCTCCCAGGATCCCATCGTGCCCAAAAGTGCCCCCCTCGCGACCGATCCCTCCCAAATGGTAATTTTTTGTGGATCCGGCCTCTCCCACTTCAAGAGAGTTGGGGCTATCTTTTAGTATGCGAGTGTAGTTACGAAGACCTCGCGGTTAGTCCCCGAACGGTTGTAATGCTCCGGCGGGACAGTGTCAATGCCTCGTGGTGGTTGCGGCTCCACCCGGTACCTCGTCGGACCTTCCCCATGGACGTGGCCCTCAACTTAGCGGGAGCGGCCTAGGTCCTTTCCCAAACGGCCAAGCTGCCCCTCAACAGTGTGGCGTGTGGTTGGAGAGGGTAAAAAAGACTTAGAAGACCAATTGTTCGGCCCATCTTGGCGCCCTGGACTTTTAGGAACTCGACATGAGGCGCAATTGGAACCCTCCGGCTAGAGCTCAAGCAGGAGCTGGTTCCGGATGTGCAGTATCGCATTGATACCTTGATCCTTTAACCTGTTATCTTGCGAATGAGGAATAGGTCGTGCTTGGACATTTCCTTAAAGGAAAGCGGTCCTGGGGTCGTGGTGCGAGCACCGCTTTCCCCCTCATATCGGGCGCTGAGACTAAAAATAGGTTGGAAGGCTCAATCTCTTGCTATTTCCATGGTCGGCCCGAAGGGTCCCTTATGTATGCAATGCAATTTCCAATTCTCAAGCAAACATTCAATTCCAAGCTCTTTCCAAGTCTTTCACAAGGCTGATTCTCATGGCTGATCCGGCAGCCTCTTTTCAATCAAAGGCGGCCTTCTCTTCTCATGGCTGATCCATCTGTCGCTTCCTTTTCTCATGGCTGGCCTGACAGCCTTCCTTCTCAACTCATCTTGTTTCAACGACCGTCCCGACAGTCTCTTTCCCAACTTCCTTTTCTCAATCTCTTTATTTCGATGGCCGAGCCGACGACCTCTTTCTCAAGTCCTCCGCTTCAATGACCGTCCCGACGGTCTTTTTTCCAACTTCCCTTTTTAATGGTCGACCCGACGACCTTCTTCTCAATATGTCCATTTCAATGGCCAGCCCAATGGCCCTTTCTCAATATGTCCATTTCAATGACCGACCCGGCAGGCAGCCAATCCATAAACAGTCATGCAAAGGGACCCCTGTGCCCATTTCCAAAGAGACAACCCTTGTTAGGGGTCATCTCCGAACAACCTGGTTAGGGTCGTTCTTCTTTTCCAATCTCATCCTTGAACAGCCTGGTTAGGGTCATTCCTTTTCCAAATCTCATCCTTAAATAGCCTGGTTAGGGCCATTCCTTTTCCAAATCCGATCTTTGAACAGCCTGGTTAGGGCCATTCCTTTTCCAATTCCAGTACTGACGCCCGAGGGGATGGGCTTTGGGAGGCTCGGATCCGAATATCCCTTGGGGGTTAGGTGGTGGCCATCAGTTTTCAGCTTGCTATCTCTTCAGATTTTCCTTATCAAAGTTTTTTCGCTTGTCCCTTTTTGCTCGTCCTTGCCGCATGAGTGAAGAAGCAGGTAGCCATCGACGATGCGATAGTGGCTGGCCGGCGGGTGATCCGAGGATAGTTGCTCGTAGAGCGTGGCGTATTCCGGATCGGACTTGTATAATCGCAAAAAATGCTGATGAAGGGCTTTGTCGAAAGTGAACGCGCGGTGAGTCACTGCGCAAAGATCTGATCTTTGCGAGAGAGCATCTACGGCTCAGTTGGAGAGGCCCGGGATATGTTTCAGTGTGAAGTCGAACTGATCGATGAAGTACATCCACCGAGCAATCGTGCTGCTCACCGTGTCTTGCGTCTTGTAGTAGGTCAATGGGTTATTATCCGTCACCCAAGTGAACCTACGACGCCCGAGGAGGAAGCGCCGCCAACGCTCGAGTACCGTAACGAACGCGAGCAACTCCTCCTTCCGCGCATCATCAACGGAGTTGATGGGAGGCACCTTTTGGCTGAAATACTCAACCGGATGCCAGTCTACTCCGTCGTGTTGTTCCAAAACTGCACCCATGCCGTAGCCGGAAGCATCCGCAGTCACTCTCGTAGACAAGGTGGGATTGTAGATACTCAAGACGGGAGCGAGGAGCAACGCCGTCTTCAATTTGTGGAACCAACTGCAGACTTCGTCGGTGAACTAGAAGGGCACATGTGGAGACTGCAACCTGGACAAAGGTGCGGCAATCCGTGCATATCCTCCGATGAAGCGTTGGTAGTACCCGACCAATCCCATAAAAGAGCGAACCTCCGTGGTGTTGGTCGGTTCCGGCCAATCCTGAATGACCTTGATCTTGTTCGCAAGCGGACTGATGCCTTGCGGCGTCACAAAGTGGCCCAAGTACTCGAGCTCTTGCTGTGCGAATTCGCACTTGGCTCGGTTGGCCTTGTACTTGGTCGTACGTAGCCTGTCCAAAACAGCACGTAGATGCACGATGTGCTCGTCCAAAGTTCGGCCATACACCAAGATGTCATTGAGGTAGATGAGCACGAACCGGTCCAACATGTCGCGAAACTCCGTTGTCATTGCCGCTTGAAAGGTGGCCGGGGCATTCGTGAGGCCGAATGGCATTATGACCCACTCGAAGTGCCCGTACCGTGTCTTGAACGCAGTTTTATATCGATCTCTTGGATGGATCTCGAGCCGGTGGTAATCGGCCTTGAGGTCCAACTTGGAGAAATACTTGGCGCCGCCCAAGCGTTCGAAAAGATCGTCGACGTGTGGGAGCGGGCCGGCATTCTTAATGGTTTGAGCATTAAGCTTGTGATAATCAATGCATAAGCGCAGCTCCTTGTTCTTCTTCCGAACGAAGAGAACAGGTACACCGTAGGGCGAGCAGCTAGGGCGAGTCCAGCCCTTGTCAATGAGGTCATCGAGTTGCGTTCGAAGCACTTCGAGTTCCTCCTCGCTCATGCGGTAAATACATCCGCGCGGAGGTACGGCCCCGTCTTCGAGGATGATCTCGTGACGAATTGGCCGATTCGGTACGATTCCGACGGGGGCTTCAAATACGTCGCCATAGGAGTCAAGAAGTTGTACAATGCGTGGATCCGGTGGCTGTTCCGCCGCTGGCTCGTCGGGAGGAGGGAGGACGTGCAAGAAACAAATGCCCATTTCCTCCACGTCGTTCCGTGCGATGGAGTTGCGAATGCTTGCCGCGCAGACCACGTGACAACCAATCGAAGGATGAGGTGGAGGGACCGTACATGGCACAAGTACCCTGTTTCGGTCACGAACGTGAACGGTGCGGCGGTAGAAGTTCACCGGGTGGTCCTCGTTGCGCAGCCATGACATGCCCAAGATCATGTCGAACTTTGTGTCCAATATGTCAAAGGACATGGCCTCGCGTGCAAGCGGGGCAAAGTACACGGGGGCGGAGTCAATGCACCGGTCGATGGACTTGTGCGTACGGCCGTCGGCCAACGTGACTTGCGTGGGCTGCGATTTCCTTCGAACGTGCGGCCCAAGGCCGGCGAGGTCATGAAATCCTGGCTGATGTAGTTGCGAGTAGCTCCACAATCAATCAAGGCGCTGCAGGTCGCCTTCCCGATCTGAATGCGGACGTAGAGTAACGGTGCGTCGGTGTCGTCGTACCATTGCGTGGCATACTTGCGGTCAATCTTCGCAGTGTACTCGCGAAAGTCAACAACCGCTACTCCGTCTTCCATCAACGGAGCTGGTACTGCAGCGTGCAAGTAGTTGCATAGGTCCGCCGTTAGGGCGTTGCAATGAGGCTTCGGCAAGGAACCAGATGGGGGAAGAGGCAACCATTGGAAGTCCTCCGATGTCAATGGGTCGAGTAGACCACACCGACGAGTCCCCGAGTGATGTTGGTGAGCATGCTGGTTCACTTGGGGATGGTGATGAAGTCGCGCACGCATAAGACTCTTGCACGTGGAGAGGTTGGTCCAACGGCGGGACCAGGTGGACATCATAGTCTTCATAATCTTCGCGAAGACTGGCGACATATGCATGTTCCCCGGACATGGAGGAGGTTGCTAGCAAGGCAACACTGTGCGGCGGAGTAGGAAGTGGAGTCGCCTCACTTCCCGTGAAGCTCAGTTTCCCGAGCTTTGCCGTGGACGGACGTCTTCTTTGCCTTTGTCAGGGCATTGCGACGTGGTATGCTTGGTGTTGTTGCACCAGTAGCAACAGCTCCACCTCTTGCAGAGTTTGTATTGTTCCTCTGTGAGGTTGAACTTCTTCCATGGCTCATTTGGCTGCCCGACTTCCGTTGTTGACGCAGATTTCGCCTTCTTCTTGTTGTTGTTGTTGTTGTTGCATCGTGGCGGAAGGGCGTTGACTCTGTCTCCTTCACTAGACTCGTGAGTCATCGCCTGGTCGTTCTTTTGTCCATTTCCTTGGACAGCAGCGACTTACTGCGGCCGCGGGCCTTTGCCCTTTTCCACAAAATTCGGTTGGCTTCACCCCTCGTTGGCTGCCCACCGATTGGTTTGGATGACTTCGTGCGCCTTCTCCACGATCATGTCCAAGTCCGTGTACAGGCTGCGCTCCCCAAGGGTCGTGCTCAACGCGTCAACTGACCGCTGGAAGAATTCGCGACGAAGATAGACGAATGGGATGTCCAAATTCGGAATCGTCACGATTTTCCGCCACTCGGTTAGCCATTCGCGTGTTGGCTGGCTGCCTTGATGCATGCTGAAGATCCGGTTCACGCCTTTGCCTTGAGCGTCGTCGACGATGAAGCGTTTCCGCCACTTCTCGGTCATGGCCTCCCAAGTGATCTTGGTGTAAAGCTTCGAGACTTCGACGCGTTCGATTTGAGCCAGGTGGTTGAGCCACACTTGGCTGGCACCGGTGCTGCAAAGGTAAAGTGCTGAGATCTTCGGCTCTGACAGGACCGAGTGGATGGAGAGCTCATCGGTGAACCCGTGCCACCAACTGATGGGGTCCGCCTTGTGGTAGTCATCAAACCTCTCGATGCTGAACTTCGGCATCTTGAATTGTTTCGGCGTCACATTGTTGCAGGTCCCAGTTGGTTGCTGCTGCAGTTGACGCAGATCCGCTTGTAGGGCGGCTATTTGCTGGCTGATGGTCGTCGGGTGTCGGAAACTGTTCAAATTGCCGACAAGCGCGACCAGGTGATCCAGCCGTCCCTCCAGCTCGCGGATCGATGGATCAATGCTTGACGATGTCGTGTGCCTGTGCGGCACATTATCCTTCTCCAGCACGTCAAGGCGGGCGTGGAGGCTCTTGAGAGTCTCCTCGTACTCAGTGATGGTACGTGCCTGCCGGGGCAGCTCCACTTGTTGCCAGTTACAAGTGAGGATGACTTGGTGCATGATGCTGGCGAGAGCTGACTTAGTCTGGTCCTCCGTAATTGGTTCCGTCGTTTCCGCCGGATCCACATGCCATGCTTGGAGTGTGGCAGAATGAGCGGCTTCCTGCTGCATGAGGACAGACGCGGCATCTCTTCTAGCTTTGTAGTGGTTGGCAGCTGCGTCAGCTTGCTGCCGGCGTCGCTGCTCTTCGGCGCGTGCAATGGCATTGAGGTGTGCCGCTTCGTCTGCCGCCTCACGTTGCTGTTCCTCTTGGATCTGCTGCATGTAGGTGCCCAGGCGGGCCAGGGGCCGTCAAGGTCTCTCCTTGCTGCCGGACTGGTGCAGCGTCGAGGGTTCCCGCAGAAGTCGCAGTGGAACCCTCCTGCTGGGCCTGTGGGGCCGGGGGGTTCGAGCTGCAGGCCTCCCGTGGACTGCCGGATGCGGCATTGTCCACCGTGGGGTTGCCCTGGGTGTCCATGTCAGAGGGGTGGGGCATAGGTAGCTGCTGTTCTGCTGCGGCTGCCCGCCCTTCTCGTGCTGCGATGTGGTTGCTACGTCGGAGCATAAGCTGCAGTTAGCTGTACGGTGTTGATGACGCGGTACTGCTGACGTGGCCCTGCTGCTGACGTGGCACTGCTGAAGTGATACTGCAGTGTCGTGACCCTGCTGCCGTGCCCTGCAACTGACGTGGCACTGCAACTATCGTGGCCTGCTAACGTGGCACTGCAACTGACGTGGCCTGCTGACATGGCACTTACCAAGGCGAGAGAACAGACAGGGGGGTGGGTGGGCGGGAAACACAGGCAAACAACCAAACTGCAATGTGCTTGCCGGCCTTTTTTTTTTTTTTTTTGAACTCCAATCTATTGGTGGGGAGCAGCACCTGTTGGAAAGCGGGTCCAGCGTCCCTTTGAGAAGAATATCATAAGAGTAGCATTGATCCACGAAAACCAACCCGAACCCCCATCCATCCCAGTCAAAAACTGAAGAGTATAATGCCACTTCACCCATCATGGGCGCCAGAAAGAACTTGCAAACCAAGCATCTATCCTCGTCCGTTTCCTGAACCTTTCTCTCAAGGACTGTACAAGGGATTACCCATACCAAGAGGCAGGGACTAAACAATTACTTGGAGGGGGAAAGAAGTCCGGAAACTCAGAGACAGGACTGAGGGGGATAGAGGGGTCGACAAAACTCCAATCATGAAAAATCAGCCGATAATTCCTCTTGATGGGTTCCTGAGAATTAGTGTGTCCTTCCTCCCAAATTACTATACCCAGTCTCCCTCCCTGGTCCCCGCCCAGCCAGCATTTATTAAAGAGGTTGATTTGATGCCAAATATCATTTCGTTAGGAAAAGTGAAGAAGTTTTTCTTTAAGTTGTTGCCACTTAACCGAGATTACTGTTTGAATATGTTGTTTAATAGAATCTGTAAAGTCCGGTCCATCCAATCGGGCACCCTCCATTTCAAAGGTGCATCTTCTTGTCCAAATTGCCCAGATAATGGCTTTTCTACTTATTGAGAATAGATTAATAGTAAACTCTTCCTCTTGGTCGGGATGCCAACAATCCAGAAGAAGGGCCTTCCAGTCCCATGGCCACGCCTGGGATGTACCCATCTGGTTCCAAATCCTAACCCACCATCTCCACAGCCAGATCGACCCTGGACATTGCAGGAAAATATGCTCAATTGTTTCTCGAATAAGTTTAGAAGGAAACGCTGATTTACATAGTTTGCACCATGGAAAGGCTAATCCCTTCTGTTCCAAAAATGTCCTATCAATAATCCAATCATTTGTGGGGAGACATCTATGAACAATTTGCCATTGTAAGGATGCTATATTAGCAGGTTTGGTTCTAGTTGGTTGGAACCACTTGATCTTTCTCAAATTGTCCTTACTCACGTTCAACTTCCTATGCCATCTTTCCTCAATATGGTCCTTTAGGTTTATCCTATGGCGAAGCATCCTGTATGTGGCTTTAACTGATAGATTGTGGAGGTTCCTTGGGTGGTGGTTTCCATATTTCCCGGGAGACGACCACTTCCAAAGAAGAGGGTCGAAAGGAAGATGAGAAATGGGAGTATCAGGCCTAAATGCAATCCATTTTTCCTTATCTTTCAGGACTCTAATCCAGAAGAGTTGATCAGTGGGAGCCAAAAAGGTATCATCTAGATTTTTGACTTGAACTCCATCTTCTTGAATAAAGAATAGCGAGAGTAGTATCTGGTTTGGATTATGAATTTCAATTATATTCCGAATGACTCTTTTTTGGTTATGAAATGCAACCCAATCCCCCTCGAGAAGTTTGGGACCTTTTCTCAAAATTCTGATCCAGTCCAAAGGAATTAAATCAATTATTTTATCAATGGCTGCGACCTGATGATGACTATACTTAAACCACCAGTACCTCGCACAGCTATCGGTCGCGGGCACTCCCGTATACGCGCCGCAGCCCTTGGGGGGTCGGCCAAGGGAAGGCCCCGTCGCTGCGCGAAGGCCGGGCTCCGCTTCCCTAGGGACGACACACTTGAGAAAACAAAAAAAAAGAAAGAAGGAAAAAAAAAAAACAAATACACAAACGAAAAAAAAAAAGAGCGGACAAAAAGTTGAAGTCTCGCGCGCGCGCGCGTGAGAGAGAGAGAGAGAGAGGGG